CAATAATACCCTTAGATTAGCTTTACCTGTTAATTGGACCGGTACCTGTGGTCTAGTAACCGTTGATGTATGCTGTACTTTCATTCCCAATAATACCGCTCCTAACGGTTCATTCACACAAGCTATGAATAAACTTGAAGCATTGCAGATAGAACTAATTGCCAATACAGGTCACGGTCAGTGGCTACATAAGTGGCTACAGGACACGTTTGGGAGATGGAAGGAACTAATTGTAGCCTTTGTAACCGTTGCAGCATGTTTTTGATGATTATTGTCTGTTGTGTGGTACCCTGTGTACGTTCAATGATAACCCGTATAGCTGCTAGTACAGCTACTTCAATGTATTTGCAATTGGCACAAATTGACCCAGATTATGTGTCAGATGTCACCAATGATGTTCCTGATGTGTATATTGAACATTAGGTTGTGAACTATTACATTTTATGATTTGCTTTTTATATTATGTTATTACATTTGTGATTTTTCCTTTCTATTTGAGTTATTATTTTTAAAAATAATAAAAGAGGGGAACTGTTAGGTATTTTGATACCATAGTAGCATTTACAGGATATTGTTTTATACAGGAAAACTGTTGCTCAATAAGGCCCATCTACTAGTTGTTTTTCTCTTTCTCTGTGACCCAAGAATTAATGTGTAGGACTCACAAGCTGGTACCCCAAGGTCGAAAACACCACAGAGATGAGACCACTTCCTTACTCCCATCCTCCCTTTTTCTTTATCTCCTGGAAAAGGCTCGTTAAAGGCTAGGTGGTTTGTTTCAGAATTCACTAATGAAAGAACTCTGTATTCTATGTCTAGGAGTGTATTTTGCTGGGATGATCATAAATTGTAGCTGAACTGATAAACTACACACAGGATACTTCTTTGCTCACAAGGCAGGAAGACGTTTCCTTATTTGGTCTGTACCGGTTTGAACTGGGAAAGCTGACACACGAACCTTTTTTCCTCTATATAAACTGCTGTGTATCAAATAAACCTTTGAGTCGATTGGGAAGGCAACCTAAAGCAGTCTCTGTTTTCTTGTTCTCCCAAGCTGCTCCCGAGCTCGTACTAACACGCTGAATGGCATACCTGAGTGTTACTTTAAATAATTAGGAATCTTAGAAGGAAAGGACAAAACTCTGCTTATCGCTCACGCCACGGAGGAAACCCGGGATGGCAATTTCCTTCACCCGTTATTCCTTTATTTACTCTAAAATAATAACCAGCGATAATACGAAATTAAACTGGCCCAGTGTTTAATTATGTAATTAAAAAATGCAAATTGTATTATTTTATTTTTTACAAATTGCAATATTTATCTACAGCGCGCCTTTAGCGACACGTCAACAGATCTTAAGCAAGGCGATTGGATGGTTTTTACTGCAATGCATCTTGGGAGTCGTAGTAAATGTATCTTTCAACTCACGGTCCTGCAGCGAAGTTTTCGACTGGACACGAGGCAGATCCTAGCTAAGTAAGTTGTGATAAACTGTGGGTAATTTGCATGTTCACTGAAATATTAATTTCAGTGATATTAAACTGATATTAAACTTGAAATGTTTTCACAGAGCAGTCTGTGTACCAAGAGAACTACTTCTGCAAAAGTTTATTTAAATTTTTTTGTGATGTATTCTCATGTGTAAGACACTTGCTTGGCCACCCAGCTAATGTTAGTACTGCTCTATTTTAGCAATGTATCTTTTCTGTAATCAATTCAGGGTTTTTTTTTTAACCCTATTCACGTAATTAACTCAATATTAATGACTTTAATCTCGTAATTGATTTTTTTCTTCTAAATATGGTGTAATACTGCCTCGTAATATAAGTTATTTCTTTGGTCATAAATTATTTTTGTAATCGTTTCACCAAAACAGACCTGAAATAATCCCTACATGTTCCATTTTCATTTGCAGAAATGACAAAGCCAAAAACCAAACCATGCCTTCCTGTCAGGCCCCAAACACCTGCAACAGGAAGACATGCAGTGGATGCCTGGGCAGCCTGAACCTAAAGGAGGGATTGAAGAAAAAAAAACAAGAACAGTTTAAAAACAGTAACTGGGCTGCCTCTGTTAAAAAAAAAAAACAGAAATGCGAGCAGGGTGGTTAATTCAGCCCAGTTGTCAGTAAGTTTAAAAGTTCTGATCTAATAAGTGGTTGGTCTGGTAGACAGTTCTTTATTAATCACAGTTGTCAATGTTTTCTTGTATATCATGAAGTAAGAAACTAACAAGACATGTATATACACATAAAATATTAATTTATAAAAGAGCATAAATAAAAAAGTTATTCACATCAGAATAACATCATCACACTAAAGACATCCAACTAGAAAAAACTTGTTAAAAACTATTTTTATTTAAGCTAATTCTGATTTTTAATTTAATCGGCTATTAACTGAGAGACAAAACATTTCAAGATGGATTTTATCATACATTTACAGGTTTGGTCACCATAAATACTTTTTAACTATCGACAACAATAAAACAACAAAGATGTGAAACTTAAAGGTTTGTTATACATCAATTTGCTTACATGAAAGACTGGCTGCATGTTTTTCTTTGTTGTTCTTGCAGGTTTCAAAGCTACATGCCCTGGGCTACCAACCAATTCTGTTTCTTGGACAGTTTGACCGTAAGGGCCGTATAGTAGGGGATGTGATCACTCTGATCGAACCAGCGGAAGGTGCTGCACGTGACATCCTCATGAAGATGAGGAAGCTTTATGAACACCTTCTGAGAAGTAAGATATGCTTTGTCCATTATCTGTAACCAGGTGTCCTTATCAGGTAGCCTATCCTAGCTGTCTTTGGGTGATACTCATGGTACACCCTAGATAAGAAGGCAGATCATCACGGGGTACATAGAGACAAACAAGATGGTGAGGATGAGGATAGTTAACAGTCACCAGCTATTCTGTTCTACTCTACTCTATTCTGTTCTATTCTATTATTCAGCCAAGGTTCAGACCAGTAACCTTCTTGCTGTGAGGTGACAGCTGCCCTACGTGTCCTGTTGCTAACATGAAAATAGTGTTATATCTGCCTTATTACCTCCCCATGTGTCGGTCACATCACCAAAGCTAGCCATACTGAACCTCTGGTGTTACCCACCTGAACAATTTTGTATGTGTGTGTGTATAGTATGGTCTTTCACACTCATGTATATACAAATGTAATTTTAAAAATCTTCACGAAAACCAGACCTGATAATTCTCTTCGAGACTTTCTAGTATAACAAATGTTATATAATGTTACCAATATGAACACCAAGATTCTTAAATAACTTATATACTTCTTAAGAGGTTACCTGATTACCTCCCTGAGGTAGTTAGCATCACCATTGTACAAAACTCTTAAGTCACAGTACTAGCTTGAAGTGTCAAATGTTATTCACTACAAAGTCAGGAAAGTAGTGTCATCAGAGGAAAAAGTCATTATCTATCTGGATTTATAGTCACACTCATTAATTTATTAATGTATAATGTAGAAAAGCACTACAGATGTCACACTACCCTAGAGGGCACTTGTACTGAATTATTTGGGTCAGTGAGTGTGCGAGATGACTTATTTGATGCCAATATTTACCAGTTGTATCTTTAGTAAAAACTTAACTGAAAACATGCAAATCACTACTTATTATGTGTTTATGTGTACTGTACATTTTTTCAACCCATTTTAATGAATGTTTAATATTTAAAAATTTTCAGAATTACAAGCTTCACCTCCTGCTAAAAGTTCTACACCAGCAGCTGGACCATCCTCTGCTGACAGTGTCGATGCTGGACCAGTCCCAGACCCAGAGGCTCTAAACGAGGAATTTATTCTTCATTTAGAGCCTGTACCAACATCTTCCCTCTGTCAGCCTCCTGCATCCTCCTCTCCATCTCTGCTTCCTCCTGCATCCTCCTCTCCATCTCTGCTTCCTCCTGCATCCTCCTCTCCATCTCTGCTTCCTCCTGCATCCTCCTCTCCATCTCTGCTTCCTCCTGCATCCTCCTCTCCATCTCTGCTTCCTCCTGCATCCTCCTCTTCATCTCTGCTTCCTCCTGCATCCTCCTCTCCATCTCTGCTTCCTCCTGCATCCTCCTCTCCATCTCTGCTTTCTCCTGCATCCTCCTCTCCATCTCCACATCCTGCATCTCCCTCAATTTCTACGGTGTACACCTCGGATGTCCCAAACAAAAAAAGGACAAGGAAAGGTTAGACGTTATGGTATTGTAAATGTACGAAACACATGACATGTTCGTTAAGTTTGTTAAGATTTCTTTTTCTTAATTTTTGCATTTTTTCCAGTTTTACAGAACTCATGTAAATATTTCATTTGTTATTTTTCAGAATGCCGAAAACACCGTACACAGATTTTCAAATATGAAGAGATAGTAGACAGGAGAGTTGTAAATGTAAGTAATTTAGCCTGCTGTTGTGCAGATTTGTTTGCATCTTTGGACTTCCCGGATTTGAACTGTGCCTGACTGAATATCCATAAGCTTTTGTATTTGATGAATCTACACTAATTCAGCCACTGAGTCAGGATTTCACTCCAAATAGGACATTAAATAATAACAGACCACCTGATACGACCTGGTCATGCTGCCTTCCTGATGTTTACGTTCTTTAAAGTCCTCCTGACATCATGCTCAGAAGGAGTGATTGATGTGGAGGTGCTCCTTCCCATTCAGTAACATCTGCTTCAGTTAGTTTTGCTTGTGAGCCACAATGTAAGCAGTGTTGCTTTGCTGACATGCACTCGATGCTGGCAGTACAAGCATTGTAGTGGTTCTTATGTTTTTGTAAACTAATTGTATAATATATTGAGCCATTCAATAGTACACAAATGTTTATAAGCTCCTTTTTGTATGCAACTTGCATGTCTTTCTTAATTAATTGTTTGTTTATATCATGTTTTTCAGGACAAAGAAGTTAAAGTCAAGTGGAAGCCTTGCTCAACATGGTATGTAGTAACAACTTTGTTGGACGGGAACAGACATTCATACTGTTGATAAATAGTTATCACCTCAATTTGAATTCATGTATTTGGACTAAAGTAAATTGGGAGCTTTTAGCTATCGAGCTCCTCTTCTGTGAGGAGCTTGATAGCTGTCCACCTCCAAAGTCCATTATGAGTTTTTGGAGGTGGACATGGTCAACACTTTTAAGAGTAGGCATAAGACTTTACTTCTTTATAGAGCTTATAGTTAGGGCTGGTTCAGCTCAGCCCTTAGTTATGCTGTAATAGGACCAGACTGCTGGGGGTTAGTGTCCCCCCCCTCTCTCTCTGTCTCTTTCAGGGTTATGCAGGCTCAGTATTGGTTGAAGATGCAGTCACGTCTCCTTTTACTGAAAACTCTCCCCCTCTCCCTCACCACCATCTGTAAACACACGTCTCAGTAATGCAGTTCATGCATGTTACTAACTAAACTTCTTCCCTGGAGTTTCTGTGCTCTCTCATCCAGCAGGTTCCAATGGATCGTGGCTGCTGCTGTGGTCCTGCTTGACATCTACTACATATATTAATACTCTCTGACTTGATTTGATTAATTTATATTACAATGAAGGTGTATAAAGCATGACATGAATATAGAAGATATTTCATCCTAAAAAATTGTCATGTGTCACAACCTAAATTGTCCTATTTTGTGTGTGGTTGTCGTTGTTTGTTATGTTTTTCTCCTGACAGTGGCAAAGTGTGGGATGACACATGGGAACCTGCGCAGTTTTACACACAGTAAACCAGGCACCACAGGTCGCAGAGATCGCACAGTTCACAGTTTGTAGTTCAGCATAAAAGTTCAAAATAAAATATTTACTATACATTTCAACCAGTGTCAGTCTCTGTTTCACTCTCTAATTGTGGCTTAAGTACCTAACATATTCATGAATCTGATCGATCAATAATATCTTCCCTGCACTCGACATCTCATAGTTTTACATATCAGCCAACATTGTCTACATCCTCATAAATATAGAAGTGACTTGCTTATTATAACATATTACAAGGTAAAGTAATACTGCACTGCACGTAAGGTAGGTAACACCTACTGTGTATGGGAGCCTAAAGCAAAGTTAACTGCACCAGTACCAGCTTCAGAACATATTGTATATTATATGTTTCTACCTTTTTGTAATGTGTCATGTTTAGATGCAGTGACAATTGCACATTTGGAGTTGTGGTCTTTATATACAGGGTATTAAAAAAAATTGACATTTTTTGCTATTTTTCTTGTTTGTTTGCACAATATTATTGTGTACATATTACATATGTAACATTATTGTTAATATTATTATTAGATATCAAAGATACAATTTGAGGGTTTTCCTGTCATAATTTCAATAAAAATGCAATTACACACGTAAACAATAGGATCAAAATAAACTTTTAAAAAGTCTGTTGATCAAATGCTGATTTTCAAAACATTCTAGAGGAAAACAGATAAAATAATCTGAACAGTAACAGTGATTGTGGATGATGATGGAGGCTTCAATGGATTATTGTTTCAATCAATAGGTTTGTATCTATGACAATAATTTGATAAGTTTAACAGGTTGGTTTAGGCCTGGCAATACAGCAAATATTCACAAACTTTTGTTTTTGAAGAATGTTTATCTTTTTTGGGATGAAGCTATCTGGCAAAATGAGACAACCCTTTTAACCTAATCTTTATGTCTTTTTTGTGGCTATGATACTGGATTTTGGTTTGATGCATATGCAGGTTACAGCTGGGGAATGGCAGTATGTTGTGGATTGATTTGGCATGTTCAACCACTGTTACACCAAACTCTCTCACTTATAACATGATGAAGGCCTCTTACTCAGTGTCATGGATTTTCTATACTTTTGGGGACACAGGGCCAAAGTCTGAGGCAATAAGTCAGATCAAAGAAGGCAATGATTCTAAAATGGGAGTTTACTTATGTCATTATATATATCCAGGAATATGTGCCAGAGGATAGTTGTCATGAAATCAATATTAAATCAAAGTATTCCTTAATTACCACAGCTGACACGAGTTCTCCATAGCTGCCTGCTGTCTCAGGATCTGTCTCCAAAAAGGACCAGGGAGCGCTAACATGTTATGTTCTAAACTGATGAAGAAAATGCACATTAAACATAGTATAAACTTACTGAGTGAAGTAATGTCAAGAGGATTCCTTTAGCTCCTATTGGGTTGGTTCCTTGATCAATGCAATACAGAATCATTAATCTGGTTTTATGTAATGTCCTCAAAACATGTCAAAATGAGGCTCACTAGTCTGTGTGGCCTCCACATGCCTGTATGACCTCCCTACAACACCTGGGCATGCTCCTGATGAAGTGGCAGATGCTCTCCTGATGGATCTCCTCCCAGACTCCAGGACTAAAGCATCTGCCCACTCCTGGACATTTTGTGGTGCAGTTAGTGGATGGAGCGAGACATAATGTCCCAGATGTCCTCAATTGGATTCAGTTCTGGGGAATGGGCGGGCCAGTCCACAGCATCAATGCCTTCGTCTTGCAGGAACTGCTGACACACTCCAGCCACATGAGGTCTAGGATTGTCTTGCATGAGGAGGAACCCGGGGCCAACCGCACCAGCATATGGTCTCACAAGGGGTCTGAGGATCTCATCTCAGTACCTAATGGCAGTCAGGCTACCTCTGCCGAACACATGGAGGGCTGTGCAGCTCCCCAAAGAAATGCCACCCCACACCAAAACTGACCCACTGCCAAACTCATGCTGGAGGATGTTGCAGGAAGCAGAAGGTTCTCCACGGCGTCTCCAGACTGTCACAAGTGCTCAGTGTGAACCTGCTTTCATCTGTGAGGAGCACAGGGCGCCAGTGGCAAAGTTTCCAATCTTTGTGTTGTCTGGCAAATGCCAAACATACGGCACTGTGTTGGGCTGTAAGCACAACCCCACCTGTGGACGTCAGGCCCTCATACCACCCTCATGGAGTCCATTTCTGACCGTTTGAGCAGACGTGCACATTTGTGGCCTGCTGGAGGTCATTTTGCACAGCTCTGGCCTTTCTTTCCTACCCCACAGTACCTTCCCTTACCATTTGTTTCCTACTCTTTTACTTCTTCTTTGATGACGGTTGTCTTTCTAGATAAGCAATTTCATTTGCTCTGGGGCGAGTCAATGGCTCGGGTGCATTCTGGGACTGTCAGTTCACCAGTGTGCTGGCATGCTTCTTAACAAACACACCACTACAGCAAACATCTCAATTGTACTTGTTGATTTCTTTGACAAAACACTGAACAAAAAATTTACTTGTGAGTGTGCTGCCTGGTGCTTTTAAATTTTGTGATTATTTGAGCAGCCCAGAAAGCATCCCATAAATTAAATTATGTTATCGTATCTGAACATGTACACTAGTCATTAACTTAGATGGGAAATAATGGTTCAGGGTAAACAACTGCACCAAGGAAATTCCATTTTTCTTCTCAAAATGTAAAATGTCTGTTGAAAAATCACATTGAACAGAGATGTGATTAACTTTTTATTTTACCAAACATAACATCAATGATGACACAATCAGTCTTCATCAGAAGTGCTCAAATCACTCTCAGTGGCATCGTCTGGAATGTCCTCCTCCGAGTCCATTTCCAGGAGTGGTTGGTGGCTGAGGATTCTCTTGTACACGTCCTTTACTTTGAGCATTTCAGCTTTCAGTTCACTTTGTTTTTTTAAAACCAGGCTACAGAGTCCCTTCTGTGCATCCTCCGACATGCCAACAAAGGAGGCTGTAAAAAGAACAAAACAAATAAATATGAGAAAAGTAAAAAAAAACAAACAACAAAAAAACATCACCTCATAAACACAAGGAATTAGGATGCTATAATTAAACATTTTTTTAAAAGGGAGAAGGCAGTGTTAGCTAGCAATCTAGATATAGGTAAAAGATCCAGTAAGACTTTAGCATCTGCTCTTATTTTCAATCGATTCATCAAAAAATTAATAAATAAATAAAGTGCTTACAGTCTGAGGAGATTGTCCCCAACACCACAGAACGCATTCGCAACACTGTCCAGTGATGCTGCATCTCCCTGCAAAGGATCATCTCCTCCTCTCTCAGGCGCCTCACAGCCATCACCTTCTCAAAGACCTTTCTCTTTGTCCGGAGGTCAGCAGCAGCTACAGTTTAACAACATCAGATGGGAAAACATAGCAGCATATTATGATTCAAGAACAAAACATTCAACTACTGCTCAGATACTGGGAGCTTGTTGAAAAAGGATATTTATAAATCAAGAGCTTACGTTCACTTGTGCTCTGCCAGGGCCAAATATCGGTCTGCATGAGGGCATCACTGGATACGATTTGCTTTGTTGGTTCAGCGAGCTTGTTGTAGTCGTCAACAGCAGCCGCCAAGCGTTTCTTCTCAACTAAGATGACCTTGCGAATTCTGTGTCGCCTCTTGTTGCTATCTGTAAATAATCATAAAAAATTCACACCTTCACATAATGTATATAGTTTCATTTTAATCTACACTCATCAATTTGTTTGCTAGAACAAATCACATCCAGCTTAAACAAACCTGGATCTGATTTGATTCTGTTTACAAAGTAGCTGCACAAGCTGTACAAACTGAGCATCAAACGGTCCGTTTCAAAGAAACTGGGACGTACCATTTTGTCTGTAAAGACTTTGTGTTCGCACTCTGATGATGACGACAAGCTCCTCTATTCGTGCCTGCAACGCTCCAAGGCTGCCATCAGTTAGATCACTTTCTAAGTGAGAGGAATATTAATCAGAATACAGGATGCGTAACAGTCACCAAACTACAGTGGACTCTGTAATCACTGACTTGATGACATTCATTATAAGACATCTGGAGCCTTCATGTGCTGCTATCTCATGATAATCATGAGATAACAAGTATGTTGGTGTTCAGGTTTATAAAAACAACTAGTACGACATCATTTCAACCCAGGTTCTATCCAATTTGATGAAACGCAACAACTCTGCCATAAATTTGCTTTTACAAGGCTTATTTTTCATTGTTTGTTGACACTGTCAGAAAGATCTTAACTCTAAGTTCTTTAATGAGGCCATGGTGGGTCCTATTGTTATACATGAGTGCATTATATTGAGACTCACCTTCAGCCCATTTCTGCACATCGGCCACCCATTGCTGCAGTGTGTCGTCATCCACACCCAGCTCATTTCTGGTCGCATTCAGGCTCTCCACTTGTTCGCTAAGGATCCTTATGATCTAAGAATGCATTCATAAATGTCATTCATATTGACATTAAAAGAGTACTGGTGTTTTCCCCCCATTACCACACACATTAAAATGGGTGTTGAAAAAAATGACCTTTAGATATCGCTGGCTCAAAGTGCGGCCCAGTTGTTCCACTTTCCTTTTGTTCCACCCCAAAGCCAGGAGGCTCAGCATGTCTGTTCGCCCTGCATTTCAGTTAGTATACAAATTAGAATTAATGAGCAGGAGACTGAGTGGAATCTCAGACACGGACACACACCTGCTTTAGACATGTACTTCGTTGTGATGGCCGCCCTAGACAGGAAACTGTTTACTTGTTCCACCTCTTCTCCAACTGTTGAACCGGCCCCATCCTGAAACGCACCTCCCCATTTGATCTATAGAAAGGAGGTCACAATACATGACTGCTGAATTCATTCAACCTTATAACAAAATGTCTCAAACTAATCCAAAACTACAAGCTGCAGTATACCTCGCATTTCCAAGTGTGAGCCTTTGCATGCATGACGGAGAGAAAAGGACGCATTGACAAGAGGTTCCTCAGCTCAGGGCACTGCTGAGCCACCTTGGTTAAATAGGGGAAATATTTACAGGCCACATCGGAGCAAAGGAACGTAATATGTCCTGGGATGCTAGCTGCCAACTTCCTCTGGAGAAAAAGGGGGTAAGCAAAGATCTCCCCTCGAAACATGTTCAATGCAGGTAAGAGGACTCCGTGGCGACAAACAGCTATTTCCATGCCCTCCTCATCCAACTTCCCAGTGGACTTTTTGGACGACTCCTTTGCTGCAGTCCAAGATGAAGATCCGCACAACCCTTTCCCCGGGACCTATACACTCAAAGATTTTAACATAAAAGATATGACATGATTAAGCCCTATCAGGGACAAACTTTTTAAAACAAATGCATAACAATTAGCTGAATTAGCCTCGAGTCACACAAGACCTCAGATCTCCCCAGGACAGCACTGATAACACAAAATAAAAATCATGTTGTTTTTTTTAAATACACATGGTGACAAAATTAAGTAAACATTAAGATAAAGTAAAGTAAATAGTATTACGACAACACCAAGAGAAAAATAAAAAAAAAAATCGACCCATCCATATATGTCCACACACACACACACACACACACACACACACACACACACGTATGTGTATATGGTTACGGCATTAACGTCATTTTAACAAGAGTAACGCTAACAGCACTAATATATATATGTGTATCTTACATGATTTGTGTGTCTCTGGATGTATTTCACAAACTCAGCAACTTCCTCATCTTTTTCAATGAAGACACCTTCAAAGTTCCCCTGCTCTGAAGTGCTGAACGAACACAGTGACAGTTGTTTGAAAAGAAACATTAAAATAAATTTTTCTACAAATCCATATTTGACTTATGTACACAATGCATAACGTACCTTGCATTAGACTGAAAGCGATAAAGCTTGCGGTTTCCATCAACTGAGACGGCAAGCATGTCTGGAGTGCAGGCAGGGCAGCTAAAGCATGGCTCCTTGCACATCCTGTCCACCTCAAACTTTACAGCACTCCACTCCAAGAAACTTTTACTGAAGGCATCAGCTGATATTCGGCCATTGTTTTACATAGAGGACATACAACAGAATATTCAAGGACAGTCATCATAAACATTGATTTGCACAATTTCCTTAAACTTAGCAAATTTAGAAACTCACCCTTCCAAAATGGGCTGTTCGTTCATCCAGCATTTTGACAAATGCCTTAAGTGACATCCCTGATGCAGCCTTCTTAATGTCATAGAAAGACTGAAAGACATCCATTGAAAACAGGGTGCAGAAATTTAAGGTGCCAGGCCAATATCCACTACCCAGGATGTCCTTAACTGAGGGGGACCACATTAGGCCACAGCTGGTGCAGCTCACCACTGGCAGTGCAAGGTTATAACGGCCTTTAGAAAGGATAAGGATAAATTCAGTCATGGCTCAAAGCATTCATTTTTTTCATGTTGTTTTCAAATCGGTCTGGTAAATCCAAATGACCTTTGACAGGTGCCCACATATACTGCGGGCCGAGGGTAATTAAAACCAAGATAGCAATGCACAATTTGCAATAAAACCTCCAAACACATCTATTGTGTATGTAGTGTGTGACAAAAGGGCAACTTACCATTTATGGTTACAAGAGCCACAATTGCGCCGGGTGAAACCTCAACGTTACCTGCTGGGCAGTCACACACAGTCTGGCCTTTGCACAGGCAACAGCCGAACTAACATTAAAACACACAATATATATAAAAAGAATTAGAAATTAACTGATACACAATAAATATACAATAACAGCACCCACTCATACTCATACATAGCAAGAAATGCATAAGACTTAAAAACTGTACCTATTGGCTTGTGAAACTCTGATGAAGGCTGCAAAACCCCTCCTGTTACTGCCTCTCTGTTGTGCAGGACAAAGCGTGTGTGAACTGCAATATCACAGTCAGCACAAAGGAATGGAAGAGGCAGGCAGTCCAGACACCTCACAACTACTTGTTTGCCACACTGACACACACGGTGTGACTGTGGATCCAGAGTAGCTAACATATTGTCTATAAGACAAGGCCTGGCCTCTTTCCACTTTTGCGAGGACACCATATTTCTGATCGCCCAGTGAGTAGCAGCTGACTCAGACGACGTCTCACAAGTCATGGCTGCGTCCTCTTCTCCATCCTCCAACAACTGAAGGAGCTCCTGACGAAGCACCTCAGTTCCACACACTAACAGAAAAAAAATAAAGAAAGGAAGAAACTCTGAAAAACACTCTAGGCAGTATGTTTCTTAGGACTCCACAAAAGCCCTGCATAACTCAACTATAACAACAAATATAAAAGTAAACAGAAATCACAATATATACAAGAAGGTAAAGTACCTTTTGTTGGGTTGACACTGGCAACATAACTAGGTTCTTCACGTGGACATTGATGCTGCTCTCTGGACACTGGGGGGGAATGAAGAATATTTACTTACTGAAATTCTTTGGTGAAAACAAGTTGTGAGATAAAATCAATGGTTGTGTGAACACTGACCACGTGGCATGCAACTAGTACTTCGACTGGTTGATGGTCTTTGAGGAATAAAAGCTCCCTGTCTGTCACGTTTTTTCCAGCGCACTGGTCTTGGCTGAGGTTCACTCTGTGCATCATTCTACGCAATTAACAAGGAAAAAAGGGAACACCTAAAATACAGTCTATGATTAAAGCAAAGATTATAAAACATGTTAAGTTAACCAACTTAATTTGACATAAACTTAAAAAAAAAATTCAAATAACATAACGTTTACTCCGTACAAAATATTAGACAAGCGTGTTCCCTCTTTAACAACTGTTTCCACTAAAAATGTTACCTGCATATCTTGAAGGAGTTCGTCAGCAGCCTGAAGCTCTTCCTCCAGCTCGGGATCCTCTGAATCACTCATTTGCAAGCTAAAGAGGAAAGAGATTTTTGCAGAACTCAGTGACATAAACACATAACTAACGCAATTCAAATGATTTTCAGTCTTGGCGCTCCGGTTAATGTTAGCAATTAACGTTAGCATCATCAGTTTGTAAAGAGCTAGCAGAACTCTTAGCGCAAAAACTGCTTTACGCACCATGTGAGGGTATTTTGCAGCACACAAGTCCTTTAACGTTTGTAATAGATTTAATCCATCATCGTTGGATTAAATGGCTAATGCTGCAGTAGACACGTGTAGTCGTTACTTAGCAAGCATGCTGACGGTAGCTGTAGCCATTTTTAAATACATTACACCGTTTCCGAGATCAGTCACCTCTGTTTGTTTGAAGCGTTTATGAAAAAACAAACTTTGAAACACACATCAAGGTATTACTTTAAATATATGTATTTTTTACATACCTGCATTAGAATCAATCAGTTCCGCCTCATTTTCTTATTCTTATAAATGGGTCTCTCCGTTCTCCCATCAGCCTTTGCTTACACAGGTTGCGTCTGATTGGCTGGAGCCGAGCGCGTCCAAAACTAACAGGAGTGGTGAATGAATCTATAAATGTGTTTTACGTGTGAAATGAAAATAATAAACCTAACAAAGGATTATGTACGTTAAATCTGCGCACTTTCAGATCGTGAATCAGTTTGGAAAACACTGTGTGATGGCCACAACATGAAGCGATTTTATTGTTGAATTATCAGTGATACTTTCGTGTTTTTGTTGAGAAATGTTAACGATGTCATTAAAAGAAAGCATTAAATTAGGGAGAAAAACCCGTTCGCGGAGAGGGTCCCCGGTTCTCCAGTTAGATTGTGCTTCACGGCGTCATGTTTCGCCGTGCCGGGGTTATTATTGGAGTAAGTGGATGGCTGGAGCCTCTGCTCGAAGCGTCTCTGATCGCCGCGAGCGGGTTCATATTGGAATGAATTGACAACCCACAGCGTCACATAAAAACGTGGAAGGGTACCTTAGGCGTCAACATGAGAAGTTAAGGGACGTGACAAATCGTCATTATTTTACGCGTCGGGAGTGAGAACGGGTTGGGATTTATGCACACACAACCCACAGCAGTTATTAATAGGATCAGTTTTCCTGATATCAAAAACATGTTGATTTTCCTAAATTGTAATGGCATTTTTGAAGAGAAACACGTGTAAAACCTGCACACACTGTTTTATTAGTCACTCAGACTATCATTGATCATTATTGAAAGAAATTGTCATGGTCCTGCGACCATGACTCAGTGACTTTATGTTTATGTTCTTTATTGTTATTACTTTCATTATTATTCATGGCTGTTTTGGGATGGTTTGTGTTTGGGATTTTAGACACTGGGTTCTGGGTTTGTGCTCCCTCTGTTGGTCCCTGGTGTTAGTGTTCCCCTGTCTCGTCAGGTTAATCAGGTCCAGCTGTTTCCCCCACCTGTGTGTGCTTTCCCAGTGTCTCTTTGTGTATTTATAGTGTGTGATTTCCTCTGCTCCTCGTCGCGTCGTCTGTGTTCATACCCTGTGAAATCCCCTGCGTGCTCTCCCTGCTGTTCTCCCTTCATGTTCAGGTTTGCCACTCCTTTGTGTAGTTTCACCCAGTTTAGTTCATCCTTAGTTCTGTTTTGCCATCTCCACTTTATGTTTGATATTGTCAATAAATCGCCTTCACATCTGAGTAAGTGCTGCATTTGAGTCCTCCTTTCCACTCTTCACACGGCCGCTGCCCCGGACCGTGACAGAAATATGTGTTTAAAAAATGTCCATTGTTAGTATAACACTCTTCTCACATTGGCACATTGCTGGGAGTGCATCATTTCAAAATTTACCACTGGCCAAATCTGGCCCTTACACTTCACAGTAGTGACACCATAAAGTAGTGCTGTCAGTGCATTTTTTGTCAGTTCGGCCTGCCATGGCATTATACAGAATTTTGTTAGAAGAGAGAAGTGAAAACGGCTTCACTGAACTTCAGCAACAGTTTATTTTTTTTACACAAAACAGTGTGAATGCAAAGGAATGCAGTGAAATGCACATATGTTGTTGTTGTTTTCTTAGCTGGCTCAATGAAAAACTGAAAAATAGATATTATGTAAAAGCATTTACAAATTAAATCAATATGTAAATTTAAGACAGATTGTTTAATGGATAGTCATGCAGGTCCTCGTTGACAGCAGTACTTTGTTCTGTGAAAACAACTTTCTGGCTAATAGTTGTGT